ATATAAAATTTCTATTCCAGCATGATTTTTCCAGTTGGCCAAATACATGAAGAGCTCCATTGGATTGGTGAAATACTTTAAACTTCCGTCTGAGTGACAAATTTCATAAATGCTAACTTTTGGGCCAAACATTTATTGCAGTTTTAAGCAGTTATTTAAAAAAAATTCAATATGTCTATTGCATTATTGCGATGACGATAAATTTTTGAATATATTGCTGTGTGCAGCCCTATTGTGAAGTATCCACTTTGCCACTGTTTAAAGGTCATATGTGAATTATTACTGAAGTCAGATAGACCAATACAAACTTCAACCATACTCCCCTTTTATAAATCGCTTTTTTATGAAAACAATGCAGGTTGTAAAAGGTTTGTAAAGTAAATTATTGTACTACAATAAAATTTATAAATTGTTTTGGCATTCAGATTTTTAGTACAGTATTTTTAGACCGAAATCATAAATCTCAGTGTTATATTTTCAAATTAAAATATAAATTTCTAGATATGATTTTAGTTGCTACGTAGCTACATTGTCCTCTTACAATTTGCATCACATACAGGTTACTGAGCCAGTGCATATTTAGATGCCTCTAATTAATAAAGACTTGTATTTCTCATGAGATAAGAAGAAAAAAATGTAAATAACTCAGACCGAGTTGTTTACATTGTACATTATTGTGAAGGAAGGAMTTTACAGTAATTGCAATGTCTGTAAAAGCTTTGCATTTGTGTGTTTTGACCTTATGTTCGTAATAATTGTATTAAGGTCAATAATAAGTGTAAAACACAGTTGGATGAACTGATGATAAAACATCCACAAGGCCCAACATCAGCCATCTTAATGATACCACCTGAAACAAAACTGCCCAAATATGAGTATTACCCGATGTAGCATTTTTGTCAAGACAGCTATTTTCTCCCTATTAGCAATTATCGGTAAAGCAAGTTTTTTGACTTGAATGTATCGTTAGATGTTATAAAAATACTAGTCTATAGCAAAGCAGCCATACTGTTTGCACTCAACAACCAATTATGATTACACCTGTCATGTTGRGAGGAGGGAATCACAGCATCATGTTTTTGCAAACATGTTTCCCCACCACCTATAAGAATGGTATTTGTGGAAATAGTGYATGAATTCACAGCTGTGGATTCAGTTTCTGTAAAAGAYAAAATAAAATAAAAAATACACTAAACCTGATGGATCTGGTGACAGCAAGCTGTGATGGCTGTCTCCTCATGTTGGAGTCCATCTCATGCCTCGGGTGCTCTGCAGAGTGAGGTATTGAAGAAACCGCAGACAATAGCAGCTCAGATTTTAAATCACCTCGCCTTTTCTCCCTTTGCCTTTTATTGTGTTTCAAGGTACTAAACCTTAAATAAAAGCATTAAACTGAAGGAAAACTAAAATTACTTTTTAAAAATGCGACTTGCTGCTTTAATTTTGTCTACTTTGTGCTTGATTTGCAGGAACCTTCTCAGCTGTACCAGAACGCCCAGCTTACGGTGTATGTCGGGCTGCCAAAATGCTCGGATTACAGGGAACTGCTTCAGCTCCCAAAGTCTATCGGTGCGTGGCGTGTTCAGACACCTTCCCTGGCTTAGCCTCGTTGCTCGTACATCAAGCGAGCCACGCAAGTGCCCTCTCCAAGGGCTCTTCTCCTCCACCAACGCAGCCCAACGCCATCCTGCAGGAAACGCTGTTTGCAAGCGCAGCCTCGACCAATGAGCAAACCAACGCGGCTGCTCCGCTAGCTGGGAGCCCTTCGCCTGGTTTTTACATTTGTGACTGTGGAGAGGAATTTCGGGACTTTAGTCTCATGCTGGAGCATAAACGCTCACACGTCTCTGAGCTGCAGCAGGTGCGGCCCCTAGAAGGTAATATTGCTCTTTCTAGTGGAGCGGAGTGTAATAAGGATTTTCCTACCAAGGAGGAAAATCTAACCATCCCTGTAAGCCAGGCAGGTTTAGACCTCAGCCACCCCTCTACCTCCCTGTCCCCAGCTTTTGAGGAGTCCACATCAAACTCAAATACAGCAGATGTGGCTTTGGAGGACCATGTTGCCATGGTAACCCCTCCTCCAGGCCAGTGCACTCCTCCTCCAGATAAYAGCATGGAGCAAACTGAAGACTTGCCTTCTGCTGCAGAGGACATACCAGAGAGGGAAGAAGATGCGGCTTCACCAGACAAAACAAATTTAAACCAGCACAGTGCAAAGGGTGAGAATTTGCCCAAAAACGACACCCTGATGAAGCTGCTGGCGTCGGCATACAAAAACCGCTTCCCGCCTCCTTTGTCTGAGAGTCAAAATTATAGTGAAGTTGTACCCAAGCAAAAAGCCACTCAGCAAAATTATAATAAAGTTGTACCCAAGCAAGAAGCCACTCAGGTTGAAATAACACCAGCAGATAAGCCAAACGTTTCGCCGATCAACGATCTCTCCATTGCTCAGTTGAGGCGACTGCTTGCTAAACCCGGTATAAAAACCAAAGCTCCGTCCATTAGCAAAATCCTGGAATTAAGCAGGAAGAGGGTTGTCTCTCTAACAAAGACCTTGTCTCCTGTTGTGGTTCTTGAGACCCGCCAAAAGCTCATGGATTCCGCCTGCAAAGGCACCTATGGGAGGTATCAGTGTGGCCGCTGCCGTAGAGTCTTTCAGAACATAGACAAGCTGACAGAGCATCATTTTTTGCACAAAAAAGAAAGGATTAAATGTTGCCGTCGTTGCAAGCAGCTCATCATCGGGCGGTTGCCTTTGCCCGACAATCACGTCTGCCCTCAGATGAGAAGCAAACCCGTAAAGTCCACGACCTTCAAAAACAAGTCACCCTTTGCCCCTAAAATAGTGCCATTTCACAGTCTGAACAATACAAAAAAAGTTTTCTTTTGTCCGTTGTGCAAAAACAGCTATGCGCGGAGGTGGAACCTGAAAACACACAAATGTACCGGACAAAAGTCACTTCACTCCAGGCAGGGCAGTTCCACGAAGGAAATGGTCACCCTAACYAACACAGATCAAGATAAAAGCGAATGTCTGAGTGTCGCTGTAGGTACCGAGGTCACAAGCCACATCAAAGTTGAAAGGGATTCCCCAGAGTCAGAGGAGGCAGCAGATCCACCGCTGGCCTGGACGACTCCGGCAAAAAGCTTCTCCCCGTTCTTTGTCCCATCTCCTGTTATGGATCCGCAGCAGGAACTTTCTCTTGCTTCAGTCCAGGAAGGAGAATTAAGAAGCTGGGATGCAGAAAGTCTTAGCGATGAAGATGACGAAGAAGGACAGTGGACAATGCCGCTGGATGATGAAACGCATGCGTTTAAGTTTTTAAATAGAGCTGGTGAGGATGAACAGGCAGTGCAGCCAGAGTCAGTCCAACGCTCGGAGATGACTCCCCACAGCCTGCGCTATTTTATGAGCAATGGCGTAAAGCGTTACCCGTGCAACAGGTGTCAGAAAACCTACAGTCGTGCCTCGACTTTGCGGCGCCACCTGCGACTGTGCGGCTTTAGGCCACGTGGGTTCGGGGGCATGGCTCAGGCTCACTTTCAGGGCGCCGTCGCACAAAATTCAACTGCTGTGAAGCCACTGTTCTCCTGTTATGTCTGCGGGAGGACCTTCAATCGCAAGGATAACATGATGACTCACAGAAAGAGATGTCAGTTTAAGCGGACAATGTCAGGCGCACCGAGAGTGGCGGGCAATGCGGTGGCGGATAGTCAGCCACCTGTGGATGATTCAGGAAACTGGGGCATCATGTCCCTGCCCTCTGTACTTCCAAGGAGGGTGACGTGCGAGTGCGGGGTCGGGTTTACGTCTCCCCGACTCCTCCTGGAGCACTTGCAGAAGCACGCACAAGAATCCTACACATGCCCCACTTGTGGAGAAACGGTCAATTCATGGGCTGACTACGAAGTTCATTTGCAGATCCACATGCATCCTCATCACCAGCTGATGAAGGGACTACAGCCATCGCCACCCCTTTTAGTTAGAATACTGCAGCCTCAGCAGCAGTCCGCTCAGCCAGTGATCCAGTCCGCTCAGCCAGTGATCCAGTCCGCTCAGCCAGTGATCCAATCCGCTCAGCCAGTGATCCAGTCCGCTCAGCCAGTGCTGCAGCCTCCACAGAAACAAACACGCTCAGAATTTCACTCGTACCCGTTGAAAAAGCAGCGGACTTTGTGCAACCGGTGCGGCAATACTTTCGCGTCCCGCTGTTCCCTTCGAAGGCACATCTCCTGGAATCGCTGCAAAGGCATACGGCCCGCGAACCCTCCCAAAACCTTTAACTGTTCTCACTGCAACGCAGACTTTCCAAACAGCATCAGCCTATTGTTTCACCAGCGAAACGGAGCGTGCAAACCTGCCATCAAGCCCGTTCGCTGCCCCGTTTGCCTGCGYTGGTTCGGAACGATGGACAGTTTGGAGAAACACTTGATGACTCACAAACAGTCTGAATCGTACCGCTGCGACGTCTGTCAGGGCACGTACCCATCCCTTAAATCCCTGAAGATCCACCGTAGGAGAATTCATCGCATCCTGATTGGAAACCCTCGGCCTAAAACACAAGACCCACTGACATTTAATGACGCTCGGTTTTAACTGAGAAGGGCCTGACGTTAACTGGTCCGTATAATATGCCGTTTTATTGTTCTTGAACTGTTTGCTGTTGTTCTGTTTTTACTTTTCAGGACTTACCTGAACAATATGCAGCCACAAATGTTTTAAAACAATTTTAAAATGTTTAATCATATCCTTTGTCAGCCACTTATTACAAAAAAAGGATTTGTTATACTGTTTGTTTTAGTTTTTCATAGGTCACTACTATCTTGTTTAGCTTTAATAGCCTGTAAATAGTAAAAGGAATTTTGTGTATCAAACTTCTTTCAGAAACCTGTGATGTAGCTTGTTGTTGGTGGTGATGTTAATAAACCTACAAAGTGTGGGAAATATCATTTGTATCATTTTTTTATGAGCTACTATTTGGGTTTAAAAAGTTAAAACAGGATTACTGCAGTTTATTTCTCGCATTAAAGATTTAGCAGGAATATTAGTGGCGTTGTCGTTTATTTATTATGAAATCAGCACAAAAGAACATTAAACGTTAAAGTCACACTTACTGATGTGAAGAATGTTTTAAGTACATGCTTAATTTAGATTACATTTTTATCTTAACTATTGTGGTAGAATGCAATTGTTTACATAAAAATAAAAGATTATCTAACAGTAATTAACATCCTTTAAAGGTAATCAACATGAWTGCCAGTTGCGTTTAGTTTACATAGATAAATGCAGTTTCATTCAGGGCCTGAGAAAATGGTGAATAAACCTGAGTGCACAGTTTTAATGGCTTAAACTACACATAAGATAACCTTTATTGTCATTGTACAGAGCACACTGAAATTACAGTTCAGAGTTATATTTAGGATTTCATTAACATTTAACCCCCAAARATGAAAACTATAAAGTATTTCAAAATAAAACAATAACTTGCACATAAAATGGTAAAACTTGATATTTTGTAAGAGGGTTTACTGCAAATACTTTCTGTGCAAAGTAAAATTTTCCGCACTGAAAATGTTTAAATAAAAAAACAACGACCTATTATAATTGTAATAGTAACCTATTACTG